CACAGCCAAGCAGCTGGCCACTGGAACAGGAAAAAGCACCACTCCACTCCGCAGAGCACTCACACATTAAATAAATGAATACAATTTTTAAATGGACTCCCTGCACTTCACAGCCCCACATTTTGCTAGGCATTTCCTCTTCTCTCCTAGATTACTTCAAACCTCCTTCTAAGATGGAATCACGTCACCACTCCCCTAGTTGTCTCAACCTTCCAATTAACAGTGCTGCTGGCTTCTCTGGCACCTCTTCTTACACCAATCTGCCTCCACCCCAGGTTCAGCCTTGCCAAGAAGGACAGCACACCCCACTACACCCAGTATTCCTGTGTTAGCCACACTGCCATTCAAATGTGGCTGGCCCTGCTTTCTACAATTCACCTGATCTGTCTCCTGAAAACAATGTTGTTTTTCTGTAACTATTATTTTCCATAACCACTACCCTAATAAGTAGCCAGAAAATGTAAAACTTGTCGCACAATACCTCAATCTCTTCTAATTAGTATTTAGACTTGAACTCCTTACTGGAGCTGTTTAAGTAGCTGCTTTCAGGTAAGTTTTCTCCAAGGTCTTATGAGAAATGTGTAATGTCTCTCTGGATCTTCACTGGTCTCTGCTACAAGAAGTAATCAGACCCTGTGCCACCTCGTCGTTTGGGATGTTCTGCTGGCTCCCATCCCTAGTATCCAAGTCAGTAAGCCCTGACTTAGGGCTTTGTAAGATGCCTGCTGTTCCACCAGGCCTCTAAGCTGCTCCACCCCAGAATCCCCTGCCTCCACAGGCTCCTCTGTCTAGCTACTTCCTTTTCTACTGCTGTGATATAGCCCCAGCATTAGCACAGCAGTAAACTGCAGAGCTGTCTCCTCTCAAGATTACAAAGAAGAAAGAAGATGGGGGGATGTAGCTCGGTGATAAAGTGCTTGCCTAGCATGGGTGATGCCCAGGTTAGAGTCCCAGTACTGCAAAAAAAGAAAACAAGATTCCGAATCAGGAGTAGAGCCAAAGGCCCAGTGCTGTCAACTGTCTCCTCAATCCATTTACTATCCCACCCTAACCCCAGAACTTCGGCCAGACAAGAAAGTTCAGAACATGTAATTCTCACAAGCTTTTTTCCCCGATCTCTATCTCCCTTCCTTCTACATCCCACCAGAAATAAAAAGGGATGGACTCTCCACTTCCAATTCACCCTTCCTCCTGTGAGGTACTATGCCTCATCCTCAACCTCAGCCTTAAAGACAAATGAGATCACCTTTACGACAGAAGGAATCACTGGAGTTTGCCAGCAGTAGTTTTTGCTATGGAAAAACAAAGACAAACACACTTTACAGTGACTTGGAAGTTCCCAAATATCACCCTTTCACAACTTCACCAAATGGCATCTGCTGTGTGCTTTATTTACTAGGGATACAAAGATCAGACTTAGATCACAACCTCAGGAAGTGAGAGCTACACACACACAAAATAATTACAATGGAATTTTACAAAACTAAGTACATAAGCCCATTTGCCAATCAATCTTTTGTATCATCAACAAACTAAAAATTCATACAACAGCAGGACACAATTTCAACTTTCTCTGACCTGCACAGTTTTGGGGTTTTTTGTTGTTGCTTGGATTTTTTTTTTTTTTCTTTTTTTTAGTACTGGAGCACTCCACTTCTGAGCTGTATTCTCCAGGCCCTTCATTTTCTTTTCTACTCAGAAGATGAAAACCCAGAAGCCATTCCTCAATAAGAGAAACCTCAAAATAGGTTCAAGTTTCTGCATTAAAAAAAAAAAAACAAAGCCAGGCATGGTGATTCACACCTGTAATCCTAGCTACTCAGGAGGCAGAGATCAGGAGGATCGTGGTTCAAAGCCAACCCAGGAAAACAGTTCACAAGACCCTCTTTCGAAAAAAACCCTTCACAAAATAAGGCTGGTGGCGTGGATCAAAGTGAAGGCCGTGAGTTCAAGACCAGTACCACACCAAAAAAAAAAAAAAAAGCTAGATGTGCTGGCACACACCTATCATTTCAGCTATACAGGCAACATAAATAGGAGGACCGTGGTCCAGGCCAGCCTGGGCATAGAAGAGACACTCTATTTGAAAAATAATGAAAGCAAAAAGGGCTGAGAGTGGGGTGAAGTGGTAGAACTCCTGCCTAGGTATGAGGCCCTAAGTTCAAACCCCAGAACTGCCAAAAGAAGTGAATAAATAAATAAGGAAGCAAGCAAATAAACAAGCAGAACTAAAGCTCTAATCAAAACAGCCCCAGGACAAAGGAAAGCAGGGAGAACCTCTTAACAGCAATTGCTAGAGACTAATGAAGTAATGATACTAAGTATCTTTCGTTTACATACCCCCACATCACAAAGTTCACATTTTTATCAAGCATCTTAATAATTCAAATGGAAGACAACAGAAGGGCAGGGAGAGTGAGCACAGCAATTCTGCAGGACATTTGTATCACAAACCAAGCACTTACTATGCCCTGGGCATCAGGGCTACAAAAAGTGAAATATGCAGCATCTTGCTCTGAAAGACTGCAACTGCACTAGTGAAAATAGACAGAGAAATAAATTCTCCTTACAGGACAGGGAAGGCAGAAACCTATCCCCACTGACCGGCATTACCTCCCCTCATGGGCGGGCACCAGTACTGCCCTAACCATGCTTTCAGAGTGCAGGGCTTCCCAGAGAGGCCCCTCGGGACACTGTGGCCACTCAAGTGTGAGTGTTCTCCGAAGCGCCTACAAAAACACGAGCGAGCTGCATACGCACATCAGCTCGGTTGGAGCTCTTCTGAACTGATAAGAAAGTTAGTCTGAAGAATCCATTTGTTCAGTTTGTTTCATTTGGATCCTTAGCATTTACTATGTCCATTTTTTAGGTGAACGTGTTGATTTTCCCATTGGGTGAATATTTGTGAGAAGTAGCTCCTGCTTCCTACCTTAAAATCAGAAAGGCAAATCCTTTCTCCACCCCGCTTGCAGCTGGGGTACAGGCCGAGGCCTAAGCTCAGCCAATACAAGATAGGCACTAAGGACTCTGAATGAGACGCTACCATCAGAGATGATGGCTGCTCCAGAGAGCAGCTCCTCTGGAGCTCTTGGCTTCCCCAAGAGCAGCAGCAGCAGGGTCCAGGGGTGCTGGTGGTAAGTGCTGCAGAATCCATTCCAAACAGGCAGCACAAGTGGGATGCTTGAACCCCAACCCGAACTTCCCTTGCATTGTGGTTCCGACTTCACTCCTGCACATTTTCAAAGCCAGGTTTCAGCAGCCCTTGAAACAACGCTAAGAACTCCCCCAATTCCCTTTCAAGAATTCAGTTTTTGCTTAAGTCATCACAGTTCTTGCAAACAAGTGATAGAAGTAATGACGTAGTATGCTAAATCATGAGGCACTGCCACCCACGAAAGGTGTGTGTGCTTTACTTTAGAAAACTGGTAATTCCACGTGTCTGAGGACCCAAATCCAGTTCTGAGAATTCGGTTCTTAATGTGTCATTATTTATTTATGACCACAGTTCTCTGTTCCAAGTACTAAATAACATGGTACTCTTTGATTTTATCTGCAAGGCGACCTACACCCTCTTCATCAATTAATATTATAGGACTTAAGGAACAGTAAGTTCTCTACTTTGGAAAGCATCCAAATTCTTCCAGTGTACTTTCTTTTCTTTTCTTTTTAAGGTACTGGAGTTTGAACTCAGAACCTTATGCTTGTGAGGCAGGTGCTCTACCACTTAGCCACAACTCCAGTCCTGCATTCAAATTCTGCATACACTCCTCCAAAGGATGGAATAAAATGAAGAGTCCTGACTGAGTGAGAAAGGCAGCATGTCTTTAAAAACTGGAGCCTTCAGAGCTACCTGTGAGGCTGAGATCAGGAGGATCACCCAGGTTAAAAAAAAAAAGTTTGCAAGACCCCATCTCAATCAATAGCTGGGTACAGTGGTGCACTCCTGTGATCCCAGTTAATACAGGAAGCATAAAACAGGAGGATCGAAGTCCAGGCCAGCCTGGGCAAAAAAGCAAGACCCTATCTCAAAAATAACCAGAGCAAAAGGGCTGGCAGTGTGGCTCAAGTAGTAGAGCACCAGCCTTGCATGCATAAAAATCAAACCTTAAAAGGAATAAATTATTTTCAACCACACAGTTTACAAAAAACGTCAAGGTGTTCTTGCCTCAACAGATTTCTTTGTGTGGCTATGATTACCTCGTAAAGGAGTAGATACAATTACTATTTGGTAACTTCAAAATGCAAATCAAATAAATTCCTCAATCATGCAGTGAGAGGAAGGTCAAAGTACAGGTGACCCCAACACACCGCCCCCCCTCAGTCTCGGACTGGCAGGTCTGGAAAGGCGGCCGTGCATAAAATCGTCCCGAGTCTCAAACCCACTTACCCTAAGTGAGCTCAACAAGATTTGTGACAGGGACACAATGTTACACAGTCCCACCAACTGCAAAGCACTTCACATTGCCGTGTGCTTCCGGCTTCCAAATCTCGGTCATCTGGGGGAGGTTCGAGTCAGACTTCCCCGTGCAGCCATTTCCACGTCCCTGCAACCCTGTAACACTCACCCTCACCCTCACTCCCTCTCCTGATCCGCTACTAAGGACGCTCGAATACGTCGGGTTCCTCCCCACATCCGCAGGCCACAAACGGTGCAGCAGCCAAGCGCACGGTGCAGCCCAGGCTCCACGGGTTCGAGCCCGCTCCTTCCCCGAAGGTCCAAGGCTGAGCCTGATTTACACGCCCGCTCTCCCCACCCGCCCCCACCGTGCCACCGAGGATTTCCACAGCGAAGCTTGTCACGCAGGACACGAATTTGCTGTTCCCGGGCAAAATCTCCCACGGCCCAACTCTTCCCCTAGGACTGCAGCCGAGTGAGGGGGTGGGGGAGGATTTGATGGCCTCCGGGCCTGCAGGAAGGGACCCGCCGCGACACGCGCGTCAGGGGAGCGCGGCCCGCCAGCACCACCCCGGGTCCCCGGTGGCCGCACCGAGCCACGTACCCGAGTAGGCAGCGGTCGCAGACGACGCCACGACTCCCCTTGCACACCGTGTATGCCAGGGGGTCGGAGCGAAACAGCAACTCCCCGGGGCGCAGCGGAGCCAAGGCACGCAGCCCGTTTCCCCGATCCGCGGTCGCGAACTTTTCCACCTTGAGCGGCTCCATCCTCCCTCAGCTCGGCGCCTCAGACGTCCGCCGCGTCTCTCAGCTGGCGACTCGCGGCTACCCCGGCCGCACGCCTGCGCACTGAGCACGCGTACGCCTCGTGGGCGGGGCGTACGCCCGAGGGGCGGGGCGGGCGCGGCTCCGAGCATGCGCAGACTGGTCCTGAGCGTGCGGCCCGCGGCTTCTGAGCTCCCCACGTGGTGTTGCAATTATAACGTGTCGGGAAAAGTGGGTACAGCAGTGCGCTGCACACCTGCGTACCCTTCCCCATCCCTGCTCTCTCCCCATCTGTATGTGTATGAGCCTGTATTGTTAATAAGCCATTTTAGATTGCTGGTGGTGAACCATTTGAAAGTTACAGACATCATGACATTTCATACTTAAATACCGTAGCATGCATTTTCGCAGAGTAAGAACAATGTCCTGTAAAACTACGATATCGTTTTCACATCTCGGAAAATTAATTATACTAGCCAGCAAAAAGCATTCATTTGAAAAATGTCTTTTGAAATTTGGGTTTTTGTTTGTTTCCTTGCCAGAATCCATTTAAAGGCCACGCGTTTTTTCCCCCCGATGACTCCTAAAAGTACACGCAAGGAATCTTGTAAAATAGTCCACATTATGTATATTTTTTTCGTGGTGTCATTTAACTTGTTCCTCTATTCCCTATATCTCCTGTAAACTTCAGGCTAAGTCTACATGCTAGAATATAAAGGATTGATTTGATTCAAGAAAAACTTTTTCTGGCAAAAAAATAAATAAATAATACAAATAATGCTGCCTACTACATATTGATTGCAGCACATCAGAAGATGCATAATACGAGCTCAGTGCCTGGTACATGGGGACCTGTGATGAATCCCTACCACAGGCAAAAAAAAAAAAAACCATGTTCAGCAATTAATAAAATTAATTTTGGTCAACTGGTTAAAGGTGGCTTCTAGATCTCTTCATAATAAAGGTACACTTTACACTTTACCTTTAGTAAGTAATACTGCAATATTGTTACCAGAACCTGAGGTACATACTGCTTGTGGCTTAAAAGAAAACCTAGGAGACAGAGGATGGGGAAGGAAACACAACCAGCCCTGAGTTGGTGGAATGACTAAAGTGGTACTGCCAAAAAAAGGCTCTAAAGAAGACAGAGGAGACTGTCTCAAATCTCTATCTCAGAGGGGTTTAGGGTACAAAAAACTTTTATGGGAGGAAAAGGGGGGAATACAGAGACACAAGGGCAAGGAGTTCATGCACTGAGCAGGATCTTTGTTATCCAGGGGCATGTCTTCTCTCCCCCTCTTTGGTGGGAACCTCATGATGGACTTTGCTGTCTGCAGGTAGTTAACCAGGTATTAAAGGAACTGTCTTCAGCAAAAAGGATTAGAGAGGTGAGGGTGTAGCTCAAGCATTAGAACCCCTGCCTCGCAAGTGCCAAGCCCTGAGTTCAAACCCCAGTACCACCAAAAAAACAAATAAATGAAAGGATTAGGGAGGGGAAGCCAGGGACAGTTTCAAATGAACTTCTGTTACAGTATTGATACTAATAAAGTAGTGTTAGACCTAGGTCACATCTCCAAGCCTGAATTATCTGTACAAAGTAGATAATGTTATCAGTGGATGGTCTCTGGTCCAGAAGATCTCAGGTCCTTGGCATCGCTGAGCAGAGACATACAGATTGCAAAATGGCAGCAAAGTTTTATCAAGAGTGAAAGAAGGAAAGTACACTCCCCATGGAAGAGGGCAGCAGGCTGTGAGCAAGATGGCTCAAGAGCAGACCTGTAGCTCAAGAGCACCACTGTCTTGGTTTGGATGGATATGTATACACAACGTGGGACCAGTGGTACCTTGGAGTGGCTTTTGGTAATTGATAGGTTGAGCATGTGAATTCACTCTATTATGCCCGTGGCTCACACTTATAATCCTAGCTACTCATTGGCAGAGATTAGGAGGATCAAGGTTTGAGGCTAGCCTGGGCAAATAGTTTGTGAGACCCTATCTCAAAACAAAAAAGGCTGGCTGAGTGGCTCAAGGTGAAGGCCCTGAGTTCAAACCACAGGATCGCAAAATAACAAAAAATAAAAAAATTAGAACCAGGCAGGTGGTCCATCTAGAGGAGGGTCTACTGTTGTGGGGGAGTTTCAGTCCCTTGTCATGAAGATGTTATCTATCATTCCTGTCCTTCCTTGATTCCAAAGTGACTGCAGAGAGAATGGCTTAGAGCAAAGACATACAAAATGGAGGACAGACACCATGCTTTTCTCCTGCTTTTAGTTAATTTGTGGGCCCAAGTAAGGAGTCAGTGCTTTTCAGCAAAGGCAGTTTGAGTTTCTTTTACAATAATGCCTACTACCAGTATAATTACACCATCAGCGGAATCAAAGGTTTGTACTGCTTGTCCCTCTACCAAAAACCAGGAGGTAGAAATTAGCAGAAGGACCAAGTTTTATTCAAGGGTGACCCTGAGGAAAATAGAGGAGATATTTCTGTCTCAAATCTCCATCCCGGGGATGGGGCTCGGTGGTTCAAAGGGACTTTATGGGATGCACAGGGGGTACACTGATAAGGGATGGAGGGGGAGAATCTCTGCCCTATGCGGGGCCTTTGTCTGCCAGCTGTCACCTCCTTCCAACCTTGATCTGTACCTCAACCTCCCTGGGACCAGCATCTGCATTTTCTTTTCAGGCACATGTCATTTTTCTGCAAGTCAATTCATAATGAGCCGAGGAGGGGAGGAGGCATTACAGAGCTTGTCTTTAGAATTTAGAAAACCACTGAAAAGGAAGAGTGTTTAATAGGGAAAGGAGGAAAGCAAAATAGTGTCCTCCTGCTCTGTTGCAATATCACTGCTTAGCATAAAGCGTGATACATGGGAGGAAGTCAGAAATTGTTATTGAACTAAATTACATATCATAGGGGTTCCGGAGAACCAGGCACTAATTCTACCATAAAACATCCCCAATTACCTAGAGGTCATGAGAAAGAGTTCTCAGAGAACATGCCGGGCGGGACAGTCTCGCCTCGCCTGTTCCAAGGTGTAATTCAGATACCCAGACATAACCCAGTTCCCCTAATGTACGGCTCCCCTCCCTCAACCCTGAGAGTCAGTTGGCCCAAATCTCAGAGCATTGTCCCCAGGTATCTTCCACTCTTTCTCCTAATCTGCTATTTCATTCCCTGCGGGCGAGAGCTAGGGCTGACGGTGAGCCAGCCACCATAATGAAAAACACAGCATCACAGGAAATGGTGGAATTAGAAAGGAAGTCCCTGCACCCCTAAACTGTTCACCAGCTTGCACTTACACCACAGCTTATTTTGGTCTTTATTAAAACAGTTACATTACCAGACCAGGTGGCTCATGCCTGTAATCCCAGCACTGTGTGGCTAAAGCAGGAGGATCAGGCCAGCTTGTGCTACATAGACAGAACCTGTCTAAAAAAGAAAGAGGAGGAGCTGCACCAATACTGACTCTTCCCAGACTCTTGCAGCAATGTGTAGCCCAAGTCCTTGTCTGCCCGTCAAACCTACCCATTTCAAAGCTGTGGAAGGGACAGGAGGTGTTGTTCAAGGGGCAGAGCACCTGCTTTGTAAGCCTGAGGTCCTGAGCTCAAACCCCAGTACTGTCCCTTCAGGACTGTGGGGGCTGATGTAGCTCTGGCAATTCTGGTTGCTAGAAGTGTCAGCAACATGGTCTCCTGGACCAGCTCTGAGACTGGAATTTAGCTGTTCCTCAAACCATGTGACCTTACACAAGCATGTAAACAATTTATCAATTTATTTCTTTTGGTTTTTTGAAACAGGGTCTTGCCTATGTAGCCCAGGCTGGCCTCAAAACTAGTATGTTGCCAGGAGGAATTCACAATCCCCCTGCCTCTCCTCCCATGTGCTGGGATTACAGGCATATACCAGTGTATCAGGTAAAAGATTTTTTTTCTTGAATTTGCCTGATTTTTTTTTTTTTAATGACACTGGGGTTTGAACTCAGGGCCTTCAGTCTTGCTAGGCAGACACTCTACCACTTGAGCCACTCCTTCAGCCCTTTTTTGTGCTGGGTGTTTTGAAATAGGGTCTTCTGAACGATTTGCCTGAGCTGGCTTTGAACTGTGATCCTCCTGATCTCTGCCTCCTGAGTAGCTAGGACTACAGACATAAGGCACCGGCGCTTGGTCCTTAGGAGAGTAATGAAGGGGGTTGAACTGACCAAAGAAAAGCCTATCCACAGCTGGGATACACGGAGAAATCCTTTTGAACACTGAGTTTGGAACTAAAACTGAAGGACAGGACTGTAAACTAGGCACGGGGTACTTGTGGCGGGGCGAGGGCGAATGGAGGAGATGAAGGTGAGGGAACATGGTGGATGGGCTTCGTATACATATATGAAACAGAACAAAACCTTTCACAATTGTTTTAAGAGGGATGGGAAAGAGGGGGAGGGGGAGATGGTAGGGACGATCTAACCGATGTACAATGTAAGGCTATACAGAATTGTCACACTGAATCCCCTCTACAATGGAAAAAACAAAGCAAAAATTCACCTTTTATTTAAAGTTGTACCCACTGTATTTGTTTTTTCTTTTGGTGCTGGGGATTGAACCCAGGTCCTCGTGCACACTGAGCATGCTATTTTGGCTTCACTGTAAGTCTTTCAACTTTACTAATGTTTAAATTTACCCAGTAAAATGTAGACAGGAAAATACCATCACCTTGCCTTCAAAAATTCTTCTTTGTAGGTGTTGCTCAGTGTGACACACCTGCCTCGCATGGTGGAGGCCCTGGGTTGGCCTCCAGCACACTTTTTGTTTGTTTTTACAGTTGGTTTGTTTGATTTGGGGTCCAAATGAAGTTGACAGATGGCGTATGGGTGACGTATCTCTTTGTTATTATTCTTGATTTTCATCTCATTTCACAACAGGGGTCCAACAGTTCATGGGTGCAGGCTGCAGAATCCTGGACTTAGGATCCAATGTTTTTTTTTTTTTCTGGCCAGGAGAAACAGAATTTTCATCCAGCTGCTGATTGAAGGTCATCTGTGCTAACCAGAAACGCTCAGTGTCCAAGACGCTGTGTACTGAGAGGTCTCTATCTGGACCCCTCTTTAGCAAGAGCAGCCCAGGACTTCTGATCTCAGAAGTTGGCACTGGGCACCATGAATTTCCACCAGCAGACATCTAGATATGAAGGACGGCTTGGGAGTGGGAACCCCTCTTCCTGCAGCCCTTCACAATGCTTTGCTTGTAATCAGACGCAGAGGTTTGAGAAGTGAGTGACCGGCCGGGTCCCCACAGGTTGGCCCCTCCTGAATGTGAGTGTGGTCTTGAGCCGGCGTTAGTGCATCAGTCAGGGAAGGCTGAGCTCTCCGGGGCAAGCTCAAAGTATGAGAAGGCAGGTTTTAGTCATCAAGATGCTCCGCGAAGCCAGAACTCCACGCTGAGGCACGGAATTACCTAACTATTCCCTGACTTTCGTCTTGGGCACTCAGCTCAGAATTGGAGATCTCTGGCTCCCATCATGAGGAAAAGGGAAACTAAGGAGCATCAGCTTCCAAACCCCGTTCCTTAGCCCACTGTGTTCTCCGTGGACACAGGAAGGAAGCAGCAGCCTCAGGTGAGTGGGAGCCACAGAGCTCTGCCACAGCCAGGGACCACCTGTTATCCCTAGTGGTTGTTTTCAGGTTGCCAGAACCACCTTCCTGTCTGCCAGCCCTCAGCACCCTCCGACCCTGCTAGACCTCACTGACGTCCAGAATTCATCTTTCATCCCAAGGAAAGTGAGCTGCTGCCTGGGAACCACTGTGACCCGACTTCACTGCCACTTGACCAAGCCCCAGGAGCAAGCCAGCAGGGGGTAGAGATTGGGGAAGACCTGCCTTTGCTGGGCCTGTGACCCTGTGGAGGGAGATTCGAGGGCTGGCACCAGCAAGGCTTACCCTTAGAGCAGAAGCGGTTATTGGTGCCAGGCTCTGCTGAGGAAGTTGGAATCGCCATACATTGGGAGGCTAAAAGAAATTTCCCTGGTGGTGGGAGAGAGGGAGGAGGAGAAATTTCAACCAATTACATCAGAGGAATGATCTTTTCATTCTCTCTGTACAAACTGATACTATAAAATTGTCTTATGAAGAAATGTTCAAAGAATCCCACATGCAAGCAAGCATAGCAGACAATGTGCTGGTCATACTTTTCTCTGGATTTCTGTGTTTATGGTATTCATCTGCTCTTAAAAACCTGAGATTTGTGTTGGGTGTGGTGGTGCACCTGTAGCCCCATGAAGTCCAGAAGCCGGGCTGGAGGATCGAGGGAGCCCAGGAGCTGGGGACAAGCGAGTGATAGAGAACCTGGCTAGAAAGCATGAGGCTCTAGGTTGACCCCAGTACTGCCTCCCCCCAATAAAATTATTAAAAATTTTAAATACTTGTTATGATTTTTTTCCTCATTCCAAATATTAACTTTGAGTCTGTTTATATTTGTGGTATTGGTACTGGAAATTGAACCCAAGGCCATGCTTGCTAGGCATCACTCCAGCTCCAGCCCTTTTGTGGTTTTTTTTTTTAAACAGGATCCCAGTATGTAGCCCAGGCAGGCCTCAAACTCATGATCTTCCTGCTCCCTCTCAAGTGCTAGGATTACAGGCATGCACCACCACACCCTGTTCCATGTAATGTTTCTAATGAAACTCTACTAGTGTGCTTTCAAAGGAATCTAAATTGAATTTTTAAAATACAAAAACATCAATGTTTTCTTGTCCTTTTCCCGTTATTCTCACATCCTTGCTTTTAATGAGCAGAGGAAACCAGCAAAGCACAGAATGTGCCTCGATTCCCCATAAACCCTAATTGAAAGTTTAACACACGATTTTATTAGCAAGAAGTAAATTAAATAGTACCTATAAACGTTTAATATGGAATTACCCTGCAGCTTGAGTAGTAAACTCAGCAAAGGTTTACCAAAGAATTACTGGATTATTTCCTAACGTTTATGTGAGGAAACTGGAATTTTTCTTCAAGCCTCAAAATGGTGTGAACACATATTCATCACAGCCATGCAGTTCTCCGCATCAGTCCCCAGGGCAACGCTTCCGGCTTGGAGAGCAACATCAATAGCACCTCCAGAGCATCTAATGTTAGCAGCTACGTGCCGAAAGCCCCTCTAGGACTGAGAACCAAATGCTACTGACAAGTGCTGCTAAAATAAAATTTATATCAGGACTCTTGGTGGAAAGTGATAGAATTCCAGCTCAAACTACCTTAAACGAAAAGGAAAACGTAATGGCTTCAAGCATTTGTGTGGCCTTGGGTGTGGCTGGGGCCAGACTGTACTTCCTGTCTCTCTGTTGATCCTTCACTCTCCAGATTTTCCTTATGTAGTGGGCCGCATAAGAGGTACACTTTCAGTATATTGTTGATTATAGATTTTCACAGATAAAAAGGAAGCTACATACTTTTAACTTTGCAGAGGACAAAATCAGGTAAAGTAACCTGCTATATGCTACTCCATAATTTAGTAATGGCAGAACAAATGGTAATATTCCTTAACATGAAAACTTAAAAAAAAAAACCATTAATATACAGCATACCTGTGTTAGACAGCTTTGTTATGTATGAAATTCCTGAGATAAATAAACTTCTGAGAAAAATTTATTCGGGCTCAGTTTCAGAGGTGTCAGTCCATGGTCAGTCGGGCTGTTTTGAATCTGTCTCAAGGCAGCACACCATGGTTAGGGCACATGGCAGGGGAACCTCACTGTGTCCTCCCCACCCTCACCACCTTCACCTAGATTAACAGGCAGAGCTCTGGGTGTGTGGGGCTTCCAGAGAGAATTAACGAGGGGAGGGAGACCCATCCTGAATGTGGGCAGCACCATCCCATGGGTTGGGGTCTCTATGGAAGAAAATAGGACAAAAGGAGAAAGGAATCACCCTGGCCGCCTGGCTGTATTCCGTCACAGGTGACTGTAGCATATGCAAAGTGTTGGTTGTCTTGGTTAACCTCCCCAAAGGCTTGGCATTCCTAACTCCCGAGTTTTATTACGTAAAAAGAGAGCAAAGCTAAACTTCAAATTCTTGGGCCAAGTTACTGTGAATGGCTATCTACACATGATGCTTTGTTGTTTTATATTTCAATGAATGGACAGTTGTAAATGTCCCTTTTGTACAATGGTGAGGCTTGAACCCAGGGCCTCCCACATGCAAGATAAGACTCTACTATGAGCTACACCCCCAGTACACCCCCCTTTTTGAAACGGGGACTGATTTTTCGTTTTTACAGGGCTGGGTATCAAACCCAAGGCCTTGTGGGTACCACTGAGTCACATCCCTAATATAATTCCCTTCTTTTAACATCTAAGCTCCAGTTTGTTGGATACAAAACAAAGATATCATAGGCCTCTGGCTACCTATACAGAAGAGGGTAGGGAAAGAAAATACCTTGTCCCAAACTTGTGACCCCTGCTCTGCTGGCTTTCTTAACTCATCCTGTGACACTAGGCCAGATGTCATTATCGCCCACTGAAGAACCAAGGCTTCTTGAACCTCAACACTTGATCAAGAGTCTATGGTGCCCCCAGCACTGGGGAAACGAAAGTCCCCAGTGAAACAGATTGTCTAGAAAGATTAATATGACAGCAATAAGATCGTAGATGATGAAGAGAGGGAGTTAAGACATCTGCGTGGAAATCCAGGCCTGAGGCAGAAGGCTGGCGAGGAAACAGTGAGAAGAACACTGTCACTTCATGAAGAGTAGGTAAGCTTATGTAATGACAAGCTAGGAAGACACAGACAAGAGGAAGGATTCAGAATTTGCAACCACATTAAACTATAAACCAATGACAATAGAAGGAAGTCAGGGAAAATCTGGTTTAGCTAAGTGTTCCTTAGGTTACAAAAGCAAACAAATCTGAGATTAGATGTGTCTCAGCTAAAACCTAGAACTGTCCTCAGTGATCTAAACGAGTATCTTAACTCAGTTTAGATTCTTATAAAAATCTAACTTCAGCTGAAATTTTTTTGTGGTGGTACAAGAGTTTGAACTCAGGGCTTCATGCTTGTTAGGCAGGCACTCTACTACTTGGGCCACTCCATCAGCCCTAACTGAACTTGGCTGATGAAACAAAAATACAAGAGTTGGGTTTTTAAACAATGACAACAACAAAAACCCCACAAGTTTTTTGGATGAAGTCTTGCTCTTTTCCCTAGGCTATACTCAAACTCCTGGGCATAAGCAATCCTCCCAATTCAGCCTCCCCAGTAGCTGGGACTACAAGCACAAGCTACCACCGTGCCCAGCTCCTAGAAAGACTTCTGAGTTATACGGATTGGATTATGTATTCATTGAAAGCAGTGACTCTATATGATAGAACTAACTAAGTGTAAGCTGGAATCAAACTAGTATTAAAGTGTTTAGAGACAAAAAATCATAATAAAATATTACTTTAAATATTTTAATTTCCAAAAGTTCAAGTATTAAAATTTAAATAATTAAACGGTACAATACATGATAATACATTTCAACATAGTGAAAGGTAAAACGCGCCACTTAAATCAGTCTGAATTGCTTTCCAAACTGTATAACATATGAACTTTTTCACCCTCTGGGAGAAGCAAAAACCAGCAACAGTGCAAATGGAATATTTAAATTAACACAATGTAAGGTGTTTGGCCAAAAGATTTTTAAAAGTAAACCAAATTTCATCTGGTAATACCTGTAACTGCCAGTACGTTTACAGTAGTAGGAAATTATTTCTCTTTTTGCGCTGGGGATCAAACCCAGGGCTGTTCCCATACTAAGCCTGTGCTCTACCACAGGAATTCTAAACAGAACAATTTCAATCTGATCAAATCCACGACTAACCCAAGTTTCCATTTATTCAACTGTGAATAAAAGAGCAGCCATTGTCACATCCGTGTCCCAATGTATCAGGTCAGAAGAAACGGCTTGCCTATCCTGTGCTCTAGAAGGAGAGTCATCTCGTGGAAAGGAGGCAAGCTTCCAGCTCAGTTTGTTTGTGTCACAATTCCAATTTAATAAGCTGCTCAGCCAATGTCCGGACAGTCCGCCTGCCTACCCGTGTAAGTCGTCCACAATGTCGTCATATAGCCACCTATAGGCATAATCCTTCGAACACTCTATTTTTTCAAAAAGGCGTTTAAACTCCTGAGGAAACACATCAGTTACTTTCACTTTCTCACTTTTTCTTGATCGGGTCAGTATGTCCTTTGTATCAACTGGACTTAGTGCACTGCAAAAGAATACAAAGTAAATGTGCTTAATTCTTTTACGTAACAACTGTCAGCTAATATTGACTTGTTAAGCTTATTTACTTTAAGAGCTTGGATATGTTTAGTCCTAAAGCCTGGCAGATAACTTGTAACAGAAAACAGCAGATTTAGACTTTCACCTACTCTACTTAATTTTTACACAAAATTCTAGTTTAGCCATCACCCTTTTAACAAATTCTTTTTGGGCTGATGGTGTAGCTTACTGGTAGAGTCCTTGCCTAGCATATGGAAGGCCCTGGGTTTCATTCATCCCCAGCACTGCAAATAAATTAAATTTCTACCTACCTCTTTCATCCCTTTACTATCTGAAAAATAACTTTCAGGTGCTGGGCTCCAGCCCGGGGATTCATGAGTGCTAAGTACACAGCCTATGCCTCTACCACTTAGCTACACCCCCAGCAAGAAAAACATTTTTTGAGGCAGGGTCTTGTCATATGACCCAGGCAGGTCTCAAACTTTCCGTCCACCGAGCTCAGCCTCCCAAGTACTGGGATTACAAGCATGTATCACCATGCCTGGCTCCTGCAGAAATATTCTTAACTCTATTGGTTCCGATTCATGTAAAAGTTCAGCAAGGAGACACAGCAGAAGTTGACTATTTGGCAGTTTTTAAGGAGAGAATCATTTTGCACATTTTTACGTAGCAATCACTAGTGAATAAATTATAAAGCAAAAAACCTACCTATGTATTAGCTCAGCAAGAAGCCATCAGTAACCTTCTGACAAACTATTGTCAGAAAATATTCCCAGTACTTTTTCATATTGAACAGAATCTTGGTCACATAGAAGATCATCAAGGGAATGTTTAACATCTGCATGATTACTTCCTGTATGTATTCCTTAGTTTTCTATTTCCTTGATATTTTCCATCAAAACAGCCACCAACACAAAGTGGCAAGATGAAAAATAGTAGGTTACATTTACTTGACATTTTTAACATTTACTCTTATGCAAAGGTTTCTAGTCAATAGCTCATTCAGAGGTACATATTAAGTGACTAAACTAATTAAAATGATTATTTTCACATTTTGCCTATCTTCTGCCAATGCTTTAAATGACCAGGGGCTGCTGACTGCTAGAAGAAATGTGCAACTTTACACATGAGCCCCATATAGAATTATACCTCTATAGAAACAAAGCACACACAAAGCATTAGGTAGAAAGGTGACCACGGTCCAAGAGAAGACCAGGGTGGCTTAAGAATGCATTCCTACGCTGGTCAGGAAGCACATGACACAAGGCAGACAGTGGCTATTCCATGGTCATTCTGACTTTCCACCCTGATTAGTGGTGAGCAGCTAGCTTTTTCCCGAATGTTGATAAAGATACAACAACTGGTGGGCAACTCTGGTTGCTTTTCAAAGAAGGAAAAGAAAGGAATATCACGGGGAGAATGCAGGGGGTGGGGACGGGGGGGCGGGGGGGAGACACATAATGTAGACCAGGGAAAAGGGAAGATTTTCCAGGAACAGGTAACTAGACCAAGGGCACGCCTCACTGTTAATGAAGATGAGAAACAAGTCCCCAAGATGAAAGATCACTGCTACTTTTACACTTGCTCTCATTCTTTCACTTACTGTAAGTGGTGTATTAGCTGGGCATTGGGCTTTCCAAAACAGTGCTTCACCATGTGAAAAAACACATCGTAGTTAATAGGAGTTAAGTTTTCTGTGAATAAATTTCTGCGAGGAGTCATTTGAATTAAATACATGTTTTGTTGTATTCGTTGTAACAATTCCTGGATTGAAGGGAAATAAACTGTATTAGTCATAGAATATCATTAGAGCAAAACTCGGTCCCTTAACCCTTCCAGGTATATGGAAGTCCAGGTATGTGGGTTTTCTGTTGGGCACACCATCCATGAATGCAAAGCTTCTTTGCTTGGGCCATCCTCCAAACTGTGTGCAGTAAGCAACACTGAAGGGTAAGACAGTCAACACTCTCCCCAATATAAAGCTCAGGGTGACTCCCCAGCTGTGTACTCCTCAGCACAGAGAAGCCCACTAAGTGCACAGCATCCACCTCAGCTACACATCCCTCCACAAGCCAGACGTGTAAACAACACCTTCTGTCTAAGCGAAAAGTTCAGCACGTAAGAAACAGTAAAAACTCATTTATTATTTTGGTGGCGGTGCTGCAGTCTGAACTAGGAGCCTCACACTTGCGAGGCAAGCGCTCTACCACTTGAGCCACTCTACCAGTCCTGTTTTGTGTTGCGTATTTTTGAGAACCAACAAAAAACAGGTCTGGCAGAGTGGCTCAAAAGGTAGCACACCCACCTACCAAGCCTAGCAAGCGTGAAGCCCTCAGTTCAAACCTTAGTACTGCCCAAAATAAATGAATAAATAAAAATTAAAACCCCAATCCCTGGGTTAGAACCAAGATGTACTTATCAGTGAATTCAAATATGCAACTATTAATACTACAAATTTGTTTGAATTACAAACAATTGTAATTAATTAATTAATTGTAATATTAATTGTTTTCCAAATCTGAGATGTATCTTTATTTTATATATTTTTTTCTTTATCTTCATTTGAAAAGAGACTTAAAAAAAGAGGGGGGAGGGTCATGTTCTCTGTTCTGTGCTGGCACCTGTTGTAGAATGGCTAATAAATACAACACTCCTTTAATTTTCATCTATAAAAGAGTAGCAAATGTTTAAAAAACATTTTAATTTTAAAAAATAATTTTTTTTTTTTTTTTTTTTTTGGTGATACTGGGCCTACACCTTGAGTCACTCCAACCAGCTCTTTTTGTGTTAGGTATTTTCAAGAAAGAGTCTCTTGAACTATTTGCCAGGCTGACTTCAAACCAGGATCCTCTTGATCTCTGCCTCCTGAGTAGGTAGGATTACAGGCGTGAGCCACTGGCACCCGGCTAAATTTTTTAAGTAAACACCAAATACCAGAAAGTTTTATTAAGTGGAGAAAAGGGAAGGTGTTAAACTCACTCCCACCTTGTGCTTTGTATTTCCCAGCTGTCCGTTCCGGTTATACACATCAAATGATGACCACGGCTCCTAGAGAGGAGAGGAATAGGAACAAACCAACACTGCTGTTAGTTCTCTTTGCTCAAAATGCCCCAACTTATTACTGCCTTAAATACACCATGATTAAGGGCTGGATGTAGCTCAGTAGCAGATCACCTGCCTGCTATGTGACAGACCCTGGGTTTGTTCCCGGATACCACGGAAAAAGAAAACAAAAGAAAAAAAAGCCTCAACAATGAAATCCAAGGTGAAGACTTACCAGAGTTAAAAACAACTAGTGATGGTTAATTATACACAGTATCTCTCTCATAATTATTCTTCCTTCTGATCCTTATCTCCTGAGTAGCTGGGATTACAGGTGTGAGCCACCAGCATCTGGATCATAATTCTTTTTAGATAAACAGGACGAGGGTCAAAAGTTTACTCAATGTGATTCTTTTTTGGGTACTGGGGTTGAACTCGGCCTACTATTTGCTAGGCATGTGCTCTACCACTTGAGTCACTCTACCAGCCCTTTTCACATCAGTTATTTCTGAGATAATATCTCACTTTATGGCTAGGCTGGCCTGACCCCCAATCCTATTTCTGCTTTGCCCATGAACTAGGGATGACAGGTATGTACGTCCATGCCCAGTCACTGCTTGAGATAGGGTCTCCCAAATTATTTGTCCAGGCTGCTGTCCTCCAACCACAATTCTACTGATCTCTATACCTCCCAAGTAGCTAGCATGAGCTACTGGGCCCAGCCTCTAACTCCTACTTACTTTGATAAAGGACAGTTACTGTTAGTGTAATGCAAATAGGTTCTTCTTTATTTTTTTGTGGTACTGGAGCTTGAACTCAGGGCCTACTAGACCTTAAGCCACTCTACCAGCCCCCCTTTCTTTTGTGACAGGTTTTTTGGAGACAGGGTCTCACAAACTAGGCTGCTTCAAACTGTGATCCTCCTCATCTCTGCCTCCTGAGTAGCTAGGATTACAGATGTGAGCCACCCGTGCCCGGTGAAAATAGGTTCTTAAGCCATATTGTTTTTCTTTCATTTCAAATAGATAATATGTCCAGGGTGTGACAAGATTTGAAGGAGTCTCACATAATGGTATGAAAAGCCAATCATGCTTATGAACCATAAAAGGAACCTTAATTTCTAAATTTTAAGAGTTACTATTACTGTACTATAGTTAGAACCATCTGTTTAAGGCTTTCAGTCAATACTAAGAATTTATTTGCTCTACTTCAGTAAGGAAGCCTATTCAAAGTGATCTGAATATGCTAGTACATAAAAGATAAGACACTTGTGTCAATTTAAAAAAAAATTACTTTTTTCTATGCAACTTGTGTATGTACAGTTTTGTGCATGAAGCACTTTAAAAAGATGACCCAACTGAAAAGCAATTCCTTATATTAAAAAATATATAGTTTGCTGGGCACCAGTGGCTCACATCTGTAATCCTAGTTCCTCAGGAGGTAGGGATCAGAAGGATCAAGGTTCAAATCCAGCCAAACAATCAGTTCATGAGAAAAAAAACAAGACCCTTTATGAAAAAGGAGTGCAGAGTGGCTCAAGGCGTGGCCCTGCGCTCAAGCCCTGGGGGGTTAAAGTGCTACATGCCGAGATGGAGGCTATTAGAGTGCAGTGGAGTAAAAGTGGAGCAGCCGCTACGGCTGAGGTCCATCTGTGCACTTCCCTGTGGTGCCAGGTGTGGCACTCAGGGGATGGAGGAAGGCAAGCTCTGGCTGCGGCACTCGCTCAGTCTAGCCCAGCAGTGTGGGCACGGTAGTGGGACAGAGGACCACTGTCTCCTGCTACAAGTCACAGCAGAAGGAAGCCAGGACCTGGGAAGCAAGGTGCACTTGTGCTTGCACCTGCAGATTCACAGAGAGCAAGCGCTGGAGACAATGGCCAGAAGACTCCTTTCTGCAGGTCACCAGAGGGCAGACTTAGCACAGGACCTGGGGAAACGAGCACTTCTAACAGGAAGGAGACAGTGTTACCCTAAACCGACAAGTCTTCAGGAGGCCTCTGTGAAGAAACCCGCTGAAGGCTTTAAGGACTGCAGAAGCTGAGATGAGAAGTCACAGGACGAGACGACATCAATGGGAGAAAGTTTTCACAAACCAAAAACTGTAGCACTGAGGCCACAGCGTACAGTGCAGGCAGGAAGCGGGACGGTGAGGCAAAGACCAAGTGTAAACAGATTCTTCTGGGAAGACAGAGAAAGAACGAGAACGTGACAGATACAAAACACTAGGCTCAGCGATACAGCTGAGCAACCTGGGGGTGGGGGACCTCAAGCTGGGCGCGGGTGACACATGCCTGTAATCCTAGCCACTTGGAAGACTGACGTCAGGAGCATCGCTGTTGAGACCATCCCCAACAGATAACTCAAGAGACCCCATCTCTCCGATTCCTTGGCATGTTGGTGTGTGCCTGTCATCCAAGGGATAGCAGGAAGCTGAAAACAGAGCACTGTGTTTGAGGCTGGCCTGGTCAAAAGCGAGACCCTATCTCCAAAATAACAGAGCAAAAGGGGCTGGAGGCTGGGCTCACGTGATAGAGCCCCTGCCTAGCCAGCTCACAGCCTGGACTCCAACCCCCACCCCCGAAAGAGTTCAGTTTAACTGCGGTAACATTTCTGACCACAATCAACCACAATGTAGAGACAGGGCTTAGCATGTTCCAGGACAAAAGCAGGACAGAGACGACTCGGACAGACAGACTGCTAAATTTCAACAATACATCCTCAGGAAAACAAAGGCTTACAAAATACATGACTACAGTCAGTCCTTGGTACGTGTAGGGGATTGACTGGTCTCAGGACCCCTTCCTATGCCAAAGCTCCACCTTTAGATTACCTAGAACACCTAACACAATGTCAATGCTTATATAAAGAATGGTCATCCTGTGTTATTTAGGGAATAAGGGCAAGAAAAAGTCTGTACAAGTGCAGTATAGTCACAATTTTCTTTAAATATTTTGAATCCAAACCCACAAGTGCAAAACTTGCAAACACGGATGGATGACTATATATGTCCTGTGATGCTATTTCACACACACTTGGGTCACTGTGACAAATAAGAAAATGGGCAAACTATGGTGTAAAAGAAATAAGAGTTATAATTGTTCTTCTGATATTCTAGCCCTTTGATACCAAATATGGTGGCTTCTAGCTACCTGTGACTATCGAATGTCTAAAGTGGTTCAGAACTGAAATGCACTGTAATTGTATAAAGCACAGTGGATTTCAAAGATTTGGTACAGGAGTGGAGGAGTGGCTCAAGTAGCAGAGCACCTGCTATGCCAGCACAAAGTCCTGAGTTCAAATTCCAGTCCTAACCAAAACAAAAAACAAAACAAAAAAAAAAATTTGGTACTAAGACATATAAATTATAACTACAATAACTAACTTAAAAATAGTTATGGATTGAAAAAATATTTGAGGAAAAACTAAAATTATTTTATTTAAGACTAATATTAATTTAATCACTAATACTACTAATTTCACTCTCTCCCTTTCTACTTTTTTGGTGGTATGGGGATTGAACTCAGGGCTATGCACTTACTACTAGGTGCTCTACTGCTGAAGCCACACCCCCAGCCCTTTTTTCTGCTTAGTTCTTTTTTTTCAATTTAGTGAGATGAAATGAATTTTTTAAAGCTTTTCAGGAAGTTTGGACTTCCTCATTCATAAATGTTGGGTCTTTTGTTTGTTTTGGCGGTACTGGGGTTTGAACTCAGGGTTTCATGCTTGCAGGCACTCTACCACTTGAGCCACATCTCCAGTCCTTTTTTGTGTTGGGTATTTTCAAGACAGGGTCTCGCAAACTATTTCCCCAAGGCTGGCTTCGAACCACGATCCTCCTATTTCTACCTCTTGATCAGTTAGGATTTTAAGTGTGAGCCACGGGTGCCCAGCAAATGTTGGTTTCTTCATCTGTGAGCTACGACTCTGAAGCCTTGAAACTGAGCTGGCAGCATGGTAGCGGCTGGAACAGAGTATTGGGCTGGTGCTAGGTTCAGGTCCAGACACAGACCTGATGCATGACTTGAGAACCTGTCAGGAGCCTCCAGGGATATACTGGTGCTCTGACGGCCGCCATGCTTATCCTCTAGTTTTGAGGTAGGGTCTAGATTTCTGCCCAGGATGGCCAGGATCATGACCCCATTTTACACTTCCCGCCATAGCTGGGATGACAGGTGAGTGCCACTGTGCTCTGTGATTGGTTGAGAAAGGGTCTAGCAAAGTTTTTGCCCAGGCTGGATCAGTCCTCCTAATCTCAGTTTCTCAAGTAGCTAGGATTAAAGGCATGAGCCACTACTGCCCAGTCCTTTTTATTTCTTATAACTTGACTACCAAAAACGTCAAGTTAACTGGACATACTGGCACAGATCTGCAGTCCCAGCTCTTGGAAGCCTGTGGCAGGAGGACAGACTTCCAGGCCAGCTGGGCTACAAAGTGAGCCCGTCTCCAAACAAACAAATAAACAAATAAGGGAACAAAAAAACCAACTAATTAAAAATGCAGTTACATATGTGACCTGTGTTACATATCCACTGGAAAACTGTGACCTTCCCTAAGGAAATGTTCTAAAGGCACTGCTATGTAATCAACAGCCACTACAACTTAGAAGAACCTTCAGTGACAAGGATGATGCTTACAACTAACTACTTGCTCTGAGGTGGAAAAAACAACACAAAATATCATTAGCCAGGGATGGTAGTGCACACCTGTAATTCCAGTACTTGGGAGACTAAGGAAGGAGGATCATGAGTTCAAGGCCAGCCGGGGCTACATAGTAGAACCCTATCTCAAATACCAAAACAAACCTAAAGAAAAACAAGTTTCTTAGTTTTATAATCAGTATATATTATTTTTATGACAAGAGGAAAAAAAAAATGCCTGTCATAAAAATGCTACAAAATTAACCTGCCTCCAATAGTTGGAAAAACTTTAATCTTTAGTACATAATCTCCACTTTCAAGGCTCTCTGAAATTAATATACAATTCTCTCTTAACATCTGGAAGGATTTACTCACCTTGTGCAGAACCTTAATGTCACAGGCTACTTGCCAGAGCACACTTAACACTTGATACAAGTCTGGATTTCTGGGATTTGCCATAAGTTTCTAGTGGAGGAAATAAAAATCACATTGTATTTAATTATACTCAACCAAAATCAAATGTTGGAGCTCAGTAGCACATAGAAGTTTAAAAATGAGAATTAAGAGCAAGGTGTTAGCGATATTTCAGCATCTTTTTACACTTTCACTTTGAAATATGTCGTCATACTTAAAAGTCAATAAATGTGACTTTTTTTTTTTTGGTGGAACTGGGGTTTGAGCTCAGGACTTCACGCTTGCAAAGCCGGTCCTCTGCTGCTTGAGCCACACCTCCAGCCCATTTTGCTCTGATTATTTTGGAGATGCAAACTTGCAAACTATTTGCCCAGGCTGGCCTCAAACCATGATTTTCCCAATCTCAGCCACTTAGCTAGGATTACAAGCATGAGTCATGGATACCCCGCCGAGACTTTCTTTTAATCAATGTGACCTATCAGGACAAAAATCACATTTAAAAAAACTCAAAAATCTATAAAAGCTGATCAAGACAGAAAAGATTCCTGCCCTCTAGATCCCACAACAAAGCAGAGGGAAAGCATCAGCCAATGGCTTGAGTCGTTAACTGACCTGTGGTATGTGATGGGAAGAGACAGGTGTGTGGCTAACCTGTGCTGGATAAGCTGTCACCACAGTGAATGAAAGGGCACTACAGAGGAAGTCTGCAGTAGGAGTCCTGCCATTGCAGCATCTTCCCCATGGAACACTGAATCTGACAGGGCACTTCCCAAGTCTTTCCTTTCTCTGCTCATGTCCTGCCAGTGTTCTGGGTGATAAGTCATCCTGCATTCCTTGCCCTACTATTCCCGCCTGTAGCTCTTTTATGTACAAGTAAGGACTTCCTGGAATATAAAGCATTCTGAGCTAAAAGAAAGGTAACCCCACAGCAACACCCAAGAGGCCACTGTCGGGATGAAGCTCCTGCGTCAGGCCCCACAGCCACACTAAAAATCAAAATGGAGTCACTCAAACCGAAAGTGCAATGAAGCTGAAGAGAGGCCATTTATCTGATGTTCCCAGAAACCAGGGTTAAAGAGGTAACAGTCAAAATTCCCAAACAGGCCAGTTTTAATTGGCATGATATAGACTATATCACGCTCTAATCTTTATTCAAAAATGGTAGCCCGATTTGAACCAATCATTTTTGCCTCACAAGGACAGTAACTCTGGAAGGACCAGCTTTTTGGTTTTCGTTTCTGCTCTTTTCAGCCCTTTTCTGTTTATAAAACCAGCCTCCTAAGTTCACTGGAAAACATATTCTATTTATAAAAAGAACTGTTGCTGGCTTAGTGCAGTGGTTCAAGCCTATAATCCTAACTACTTGGGAGGTGGAGAACCAAAAGACTGAAGTTAGTGAGACCCCATCTCAACCAGTGGCTGGACCTGGTGACCAGTGCCTGTCATTCCAGCTGTGCAGGCAGGGAAGCACAAATAGGACTGCAGTCCAGACCTGCGAGGACATAAAAGCAAGACCCTATCTTAAAAATAACCAACACAAAAAAGGCCTGGTGGAGTGGCTCAAGCTGTAGACAGCCAGCCTAACAAGCACAAGGCTCTCAGTGCAAGCCCCAGTACCACCAAAATAATAATTATTGCTAAATTCTAGAATCAAAAATAAATTCAATTAAGACCATTAAATTCAACTGTTATAATTTTGTCCTTTGATAAGTCTAAAACTCCAGAGTCCACAAAAAAATTGCTAGAATAAACTAATTCAATGAAGTTGCAAGATACAAAAACACACAAAAGTATACTTGGACAACAGCAATAGACAATCAGAAAAGAAAATTCTATTTGTAATAGTATCAAAAATAATAATAAAACCCTAGGTATTAATCAATCCCTTCCAAGCCTAACATTTTTTGCAGAAATAGGAAACCCATTTTCTATTGGAATTTCAAAGGACCTTGAATAGCTTAAGCTATATAAAAAAATAATGAAGCTATAGAGCTCACAGTTCCTGATTTCAAAACTTACTACAAAGCTACAGTAACACAAGTATGGCTAGTATAGATACCTATTCCTGTCATCCCGGCACTTGCAAGGTTGAAATAAAAGGATGAAGAGTTGGAGGCCAGCCTAGACTCCACAACGAGACCCTGTTCCAAAAAACAAAAAACAGGGCTAGGCATAGTGATGCACACTTTAATCCCAAGTTACTCGGGAGGCAGAGATAGGAGAACTGAGGTACAAGGCCAGACATGGCAAAAGTTGATGAAAGGCAGGTATAGTAGTGTACACATAATAATCCCTGCTACTCAGGAGGCAGAGGTAGGAAGATCACAGTCTGAGGCTGGTCCCAACAAAGCATGTGACCCCATCTAAAAACAAACTAAGATTGGGGCCCCAGTTGTTCAAATCTATAATCCTAGCTACTCAGGAGGCAGAGATCAGGAGGATTGAGGTTCAAAGCCAGCCCAGGCAAGTAGTTCCATGAGACCCTATCTCAAAAAACTCTTCACAAAAATAGGTCTGGTGGAGTGGCTCAAGGTGAAGGCCATGAGTTCAAGCCCCAGTACAACAAAAACCAAACCAAAACAAAAAACAACAAACTAAACATTAAAAGGCCTCGGGCGAGCTCAAGTGGTAGAGCACTTGCCTGGCGTGCAAGTTCAATCCCCAGTACTGCCAAAAAAAAAAAAAAAAAGCCCTAAGTGTGATACTGGCATAGGTACAATCACATAGTCCAATGGAGTACAATACAGAGGCCAGAAGTAGGTTTTACACACATGATCAAAATATTCTGACCAGGTGCCAAGGCCACTGAATGGGGAAAGAACAGCTTTTTTGACACATGATGCTGAGAAACAGATGTCTACGTGCAAAAGAAGAAACTTGCACCCTGACAGGAACACACAAAATGACAGAATATATCAGGGACCTGAAGCTAAGAGCAGAAACAATGCAGCTCTAGGAAGAAAATGTAAAGAAGGAAAAGCTTCACAAGACTGGATGTAGCAGTGATTTCTTTCTTTCTTTCTTTTTTTTTTTGGTAGGACTGGGGTTTGAGTCCAATGCTTCACACTTGCAAAGCAGGCACTCTACATTTGAACCACACCTCCAGTCCACTTTGCTCTGGTTGTTTTGGAGATAGGGATCTCACGAACTAGTTGCCCAGACTGGCCTGGAACTGTGATCTTCCTGATCTCAGCCTCGCAAGTAGCTAGGATTATAGGCGTGAACAACCAACGTCTGGTTCCAAAACAAAAAAATTATCAATAGGGAAAAAAATGCAATCCACAAAATGAAAGAAAATAATTGCAAATCATGAATCTGAAAAGGAATTAATACCCAGAATATGTAAAGAACTCCTGAAACTCAGTAACAAAACACCTTACTAAAAGGACTTGAATAGACATTGTTCTGGATTACAGGTGTGCACCACCCACTCCTAGCAGGCTAACATTGGGAGGATTTTGGTTCAAGGCCAGCTGGGCAAAAAGCAAGAATCTCCAAAGTAACCAACCAGAGCAAAAAGGACTGAGTGTTTGGCTCAAGTGGTAGCACCTGCCTCACAAGCACAAAGTCCTGAGTTCAAAGCCCAGTACTGCCAAAAGAAAAGGACACAACTCAATCTAAAGATTCCTCTGCAGAAATTTACAATCTTAGTTTTCAAGTGTCATAAGCCTAAACTAAAACTGCACAGACTACCCAGAGAATTACAGAATTCTTTCAAAACCAAAACAGCTACTTGTTAATAACCTACCTGGTATTCTTTTTCACCAATAAACATATTTAGTTCTACCCGTCCATATTTATATATAGAAGTACAGGAATATAGATCATATAAAAGTTTCCAAAGTGCCTTTCTTTCATTTTTAAGTGGGAAGATTCCAATTACTTTAAAAGGAACACCTATTAGGAATACAAGCAAAAAGATTTGGATAAAGTTATTAACATTTTTTCCTATGACCACATTTTATTGAGGCAAACTAAGTTAACAATGTTAATTTTATTTTTTTAAAGACAGGGTCTTATCGGGTGACAGTGGCTCATACCTATAATTCTAGCTACTTGGGAGGCTGAGATCAGGATGATTGAGGTTTGAGGCCAGTGTAGGAGACCCTCATCTCTAAAACAACCTGAGAAAGTGGACTGGAGGTGCAGCTCAAGCAGTGGAGTGCCTGCTTGGAAAGCCAGAAGCCCCAAGTTTAAACCGCAGTCCCACCAAAAAAAGAAAGAGCTATACAGCCCAGGCTGACCTTAAACTCACAATCCTCCTGCTTCAGCCTCCAGAACTCGAGGATTACAGGTGACCACTCACTCCTGGCAATTTTATTTCCTATTAATTTTATTTCAATTAAAACTAAGTCTCATTTTCTTTCCTTGATACAAAACTGGGCTTTTAAGGAAATAAAATAGCTACTTGATTCCAGGGGACAGGAGTAACATACTCAACATCAGAGCAGCTGCTCACGAGCTGAATATAAATCTATACCTAAGTGGACTTTGCATGAATTAGTAAACAAATGCAGTACCCTGCTAAAGCTAGTACAGTGTAAGGTGTTTACAGTATGAATAACAAAAATTACCTGATGACCAGGGAACTGCTTCTATTTCCAAGTTCTGGAAAAGCCTATGCGAAACGGTGATGGCTGATCTTGGCGGTTCACTGTGGTTGTGATCCACCTTAAAGAAGTCACAGTGGATCACTTTCAGCTTTCCATCCAGACTTTTCCCTAAGGACTAGAGACAAAGAGCTAATATGTTAAGACAGCTCAGCATTGCACAGACCTTGCCACAATTCAAAGATGTACTTCAAAAAGGAACACTACAATGTAAACATAGCCAGGTATGTGGTGCATGCTAGCACTGGGGAGGCTGAGGCAGGAGGATCATGAGTTCAAGACCAACCTGAGTTACACAGTGAGACCCTATGTCAATAAACTGATGGCTGGGGATGTATTAAGGTTTGAAGAGATTGTGCAATGTAAAGGGATAAATTAAAAACTTAGTTTTTCTTAGGCATTTGAATTCAACCTGTAGTCTGGTTTTTGTAAATCCAGCAAATTTTAATTGTGACTTTCAAGATAATCATTTATACAGACTAGAGGAATAAAAGACTGGAAGGAAGAAACCATAAAGCTTTGGCATATTGATTTTGAGATGCCAACCAGAGGGCCCAAATGGAGATGTCAGGTAAGAAGTTCTATGTTTGAAAAAGTACCTGGAGTGGTCCCTACTGAAGGTATGAATTTGTGAGAGTTTGAGGGCTGAAGGCAATTAAAGCAGGAGTACAGATCTCTAGAGAGAAACTGGATGATGAACTCAGCCTAGGGACAAGAGGCTGAGAACACACGTGAGGAGGAAACCAGAAGGGTGCACTGTCATGGGGTGCACTGTCACGGGGCGAAGGGGAGGAGAGCTTGGCCAGCATGCAGGACATCTTTAAACATGTGCAGTGATGCAATGAGCTCACATAGCTCACAAGGTATAGAAAAGAGGTTTTCATTTTTCTAGTTAAGGAAAGGGCATCAATTTTGGTCTGGTAGACATGTTAAAAAAAAGAAAGAGCATGCTGTACTCTCTGCTCCATTTCATTCTGAAAGGACCTGTGCTTTTGCTTTAGTACCTGTCACTTAACTTTCAACAATTCAAACACGATGGCAGCCAAACCTTCAAAATAAAGGATTCGGTTCATAATGATCATGAGGTCACAGTTTAAACCTTAGATTGTATTAAATTCAAAAACAGAAAGCAAAAAAGACAGAAATAAAAGTAATCTTTGAGTTGCTCAGTCATAAGTCAGATATTAATATGTCTTTATTCTCCATTCATTCTGTTTTTTTGAGACAAGGTCTCACTATGTAGCTCAGGTTGGCCTAGAACTCTCAGTTCTCCTACCTCTGCATACCAAGTGCTGGGATTACAGGCATGCACCACAATGTCCTGCAATACTGAGTTTTATATATAGGCTCAGAAAGGTTAATTTACTTCCTTGAGATCGGGGCTTAATAGCTACGAAGTGCTATTAAGTGCTGAGATTTTGCCAGATTTGAAGACTGTGCTCAGTTCCTGCTAAAATAAGACAAGTTTAACAGAACACAGATATTTCTACAAAATCTCCAGATTCAAATGTTTATTACTATGGAACATAATTTGCACCATGTATATTGCACACTGTGTGTCACACATGCAGACAGGGCAATACCTTCCTGCTGAAATGTGAGTTCTGTGGAGTTCCAGGAATTTCATGAGGGGAATGCAGGGAGAAAGAAAGGAATTCAAAGTTAAACAAAAATTCAGACTTAAGTATTACCTTTGAAAATCCTTTCAGCTTCTATTTAAAAACCTAAGAACCTTTAAATTGTCAGAAACTGCATGTGGGATGTGGCAGGGTGGACACAGGCCTGCGATCTCAGCATGTGGGAGGCTGAGGCAAGACGGTCTTTAGTTCGAGGTCAGCCTGGACTACATAGGGATACCCCATGCGAAGAAGCAAAATCAGCAAAACAAACACGAGACAGATTGTCTAAGAGTACCATTTTAGGTCCTTGACTTAGGGCTGCAAAGGTTCTATTTACCTCTTTCTTTTCTTTTATTCTTACAAATAGATGAATTCACACAAAACTTTGAGGTTAGGAGGGATGGCTCAAGCAGTAGAGCACCTGCCTGGCACGTATGAAGTCCAGAGCTCAAACCCAAGAACTGGACAAAAAAAAATTGTTTGAAAGGCTTTTCACTCTTTGGAAACGACAGTTAATGAAAGAACATGCACTAAGGACTGAGTTCCTTAGCAGTGTACTTGGTAGTAGAACATGTGCTTAGCAAATGTGAGTCTGGTTCAATCCCCACTTGGGGGCAGGGGACACACACACACAGGAACAAAAAATTGTTCTAATTCAAGACTGGATTTAATCAATGGTATGTACATTATAGCTTCAAAAACATTTTATTGATATTCCTTTAAGAATTACATGTCAGAAATTCTCTAGCTCTTAATCCTTTTCTTCATTGAAGCAATTATTATTTTCATTGATTTATTTTTTAGAATTTGCCTGTTAGAATAGCCATCATCAAAAACACCACCAACCACAGGTGTTGGCGAGGATGTGGAGAAAAAGGAATCCTTGTACACTGCCGGTGGGAATGCAAGCTGGTGCAACCACTCTAGGAAAAAATTTGGAGGCTTCTTAAAAATTTAAACATAGATCTGCCATATGATCCAGCAATCCCACTCCTGGGGATATACCCAAAGGAATGCGACTCAGGTTACTCCAAAGGCACCTGCACACCCATGTTTATTGCAGCGCTATTCACAATAGCCAAGTTATGGAAACAACCAAGATGCCCCACTACTGACGAATGGATCAAGAATGGAATTTTATGCAGCCATGAAGAAGAATGAAATCTTACATTTGCAAGTAAATGGATGCAACTGGAGAACATTATTTTGAGCGAGGTTAGCCAGGCTCAGAAGACCAAAAATCGTATGTTCTCCCTCATATGCGGACTTTAGATCTAAGGCAAACGCAGCAATGTGTTTGGACTTGGGTCACATGACAAGGGGAGAACATACACAGGGGAGGTATAGGGATAGATAGTAAACCCAAAACATGAAAGCGTTTGATGACCCCACTCCAGGGGAACTACTACAGAAACCTTAAAGTAACAGAGATTAACATGAGAAGGGGATCAGGAACCAGTGTAAAGATAAGTTAGAGATGAATCAACTTGGGTTGTAACACACTTGTGCATGGAAGCAACGCTAGGAATCTCTCTGTATAGCTGTCCTTAACTCAACTAGCAAAAACGCTTTGTCTTTCTTATTATGCTTACATCTTCTCTTCAACAAAATTAGAGATGAGGGCAGAACAGGTTATGTCTGGAAGTGAGGTGGGGAGGAGGGGAGAGAGTGGGGATGGGGGAGCAGGGGGGAGAAATGACCCAAACAACGTATGCACATGTGAATAAATGAATTAAAAAAACGTAATGTATCTCCCTCTGTGTGACTTTAAGGCACAATATCCCCACCCCCACCCCCTCACACACACCCCCTAATCTCTCCTCAGCTCTTCTGCGGAAGAACCGGCCTTCATGATGACAGCCTGCTCAGGGAGCTTCCCTCATCAGAACTCTGTAGGAGCCCGATCGCACCTCATCAATGATGGGGCAACTCCAGTCTTGTTTTTGGCAGTGTTTACCCATGTCTGCGCACTGATCAATGTCCAGTTTATCAAGGCTGACAGCTGGACAGAAGCTCAGGTTCCTCTTTAAGTGGTAATGCCTCATGCCTATGTTCCCAAGGTAACCTGGGTTACTGGGAAGACCGGCAACCATCTTCATAGCCTCATTGCAGTCAGATGTTATGTTGTACCTATGTCTTCCCACTGCAGTCTAAATTGTTCACTGGTGTGTAACAGTGACTGGCACATAGCAGGCACCTCATGCATTTGTTGAATTAAAAAAAATCTTAAATCACTGAAGAAGAGTCTATGGGAGGTCTCTTAATGGTACAGTCAAAATACAGAATCCCCATAATTGGCTGATGAAAATGAACTTAACATTTGTACAGGCTGATCTGTAGCATGTCACTAACCTGGGGACTGACTGTGCCATGAGGCCTGCAGCCAGTGAATAAAGTCAGCATTCATTCTTCAAGGACTCTAGCACACTAACGCAATAGCAATACTCAAGTGTGGACTCTAGCCTCAACTGAAGCAATTATTTTTAAATTTAAGTTTGTTATCTTTAAAGAGCTCACTGAAAAGCAACTATAGTGCTACAGGATAACAAAGTTCAAAAAGAAAAAGACATTTAAATGCCATCTTATTTTGTGGCTTAGGTTAGATTCAAATGGAGGCCTTTTTTCAAGCGAAGACATTGTCCTCTTTGTATGGTGTATGTATGTATTATGTGTAAAGACAGAATCCTGCTGCGTAACCTAGGCTGGGCTAGAACTTGAGATTCTCCTGCCTTAGCCTCCCAAGTGCTAGGACTACAGTGTGTTTCACCATGTCCCGCTATCATCTTCTTCTTTTCTCTTTTTTTTTTTTTTTGGCAGTACTGGGGTTTGAACTTACAGCCTCACATTTCCTAAGCAGGCACTCTACCACTTGAACCATGCCTCCAACCTTCAGCTATTTTCTTTCGCAGTACTGAGGTTTGAACTCAGGGCCTACACTTTGAGCCACTCCACCAGCTCTTTTCGTGATGGGCTTTTTCAAGATAGGGTCTTGTCAACTATTTGCCTGGGCTGGCTTCGCACCTGGTGCCTGATCCCTGCCTCCTGGTAGCTAGGATTACAAGAGTGAGGTACCGGCACCCAGCTCCAACTGTTTTCTTGTTCTTAAGTTCCAAGTCAAAAGTAAAGATGGCTATACTCATTAAATCTTTGAACAAATTATTTTGTCACAGGGATTGAGCCCTGGGCCTCACACATGTTGGGCAAGTCCCTACCACTGAGATACACCCCCAACTATGAACTATCTGTTCTTTTTCTTATCTTTGCTTCTTGGACTCCAGCAGATTTAACATCAGTTCAAAGCAGTCAGTTGCAGAATTATTTTTTTTTTTGCAGTGTTACAGATTGAACCCAGAGCCTTGCCCATGTTAGATAAATGCTCCACCACTGAGCTATACTACTACAACAGCAACACTCTAAGGTTCAAAGTTTTAGTTTTCAAAGTTAAATGATTAAATTTCTGACATATCCACAAGTTTTTTTTTTTTTTGTCTCACTGCATTGTTTAATGCATTCATTCTATAAGGTTTTAGGAAAGTGGTGGAGAAAAGTATGAGTTTCCTAAATTCAATGAAATTTATAAAGAAGAGAGGGAAGGAAAGAAAAATGAGACTGGCTAATAATTATTATTGCTAATAATGCAATGAATTTCCACTTATTTACTGTTATGTGAGGTTGTTCACTATGGGAGGAGAATTACTGAAAATGCACTTGGATGACCCCTGCACTCTACAATTGTATCTTGCTATATCAAACTTGTCTCTGAAACCCTAAGTATAGTTTACATAGTACATGAATCCAATCTTAGCACTCTAAGCTCACAGAAAGGAGGAGCACAGAACAGCTTGCTAAAGATGAGAAAATAAGCCTAGTTACATACAAAGCCACTCAAGGAGCCTGAGGCAGGGAGGGAGGGGAAGGGGTGAGACTTTTCTTCCTCATCATTATGGTCACAGTCTGCACTAAAAAAAAAAAAACCAGATAGAAAGAAGCATGACAAATTTAACTAAAGATTTATGTAACAAAGTTTTCAATGAAGATCCAAAGGTCTAGTGAAAATCGTCCATTTTTATGCTTAGATTCAACAAGGAATGCAAAGCTGTGTGGAGATATGAGTGGACAAAAAGGGTGTGACCTAATGACATAGATGGAAGCTGGGAAACTCGGCAGGGGTGGTCTGTTCAGATTCTTGGTCTCCTGTCTGTGGCATCCCTTCCTCCTGGTTGTGGGACAGGACTGCTCTGGAAAGTGTCCCGTGATCTCCTTCCAGACAAGGCGGGGGGAGGGGGAGGGGGAGGTTGGAGAGGATCTTTATGGCTAGCTCTCACATAGAAAGGCAAGGAAGAGTTACAGCAGTATTTGTGGGCTCTATGGCTTGCTTTGGATTAAAGGAGCTCTAGTTTCTGTGACTTGCCTTTGGGAATAGGAATTCTGGTTTCCATGATCTGGTTTGGGGGAGAAGGCAGGAGAGCAGGTCAGAGAGACTTTGGTTCCAAGTCTGCCAATTATTCCTTGTTTCAAAGCACTCAGGATGCCAGTGTCAGATTTTGGGATATCATTTTCTAAGTACTAACTAGAGGTAGACCTAGCATACAAGTATCAGAAATCCCAAATATTTATTTAATAAGCACTGAATACTTATCATGTCCAAGTCATTATCATTTTTTTTGGTGGTATTGAGGTTTGAACTCAGGGTGTCATGTTTGCTAGGCTGGTGCTCTACCACTCAAGCCATCCTGCCAGCCCTTTTTGTGTTGGGTATTTTTGAGATAAGGTGTTGCAAACTACTTCCCTGGGCTGGCTCTGAATCTTGATCCTTCTGAACTCTGTGTCCCAAGCAGCTAGGATTACAGGTGTGAGCCACCAGTGCCTGGCCATCCAAATCACTATAGATCACAAGATATGCAAGACATAGCGCCTAGAAGAGATTCTTTAAAAACAAATTGTGTTGTTATTAATTCCAATTTCTTAACTAAAAGTTAGCTGACTGAACAATAAATTACTTTTAGGAAATAAAAGCATACCTTCAAATGTGGAATAAAAGTTTTGTCACTTTCAAGGGCAATCACGTCAACACCAGTTTCAAGTAATGCTTCAGTCAGAATTCCAGGACCTAGTGCATTAACAGAATGCAAAGTTGATTTACAAAAGAAATAACAATCTCATCATATCAAACTTCTATTGGACCAGATGTGCTGGCTCACATCTGTAATCCTAGCTTCTTGGGAAGTTGAAAATCATGGTCCAAAGCCAGCTTGGGCAAATAGTTTGAGAGACCCACTACCTCCAAAATTACCAGAGCAAAATGTACTGGAGGTGTGGCTCAAGCAGTAGAGTGCCTGCTCTGCAAGCATGAAGCCCTGAGTTCAAACCAAAAACCAAAACAAAAACTTCCTTGGTTGCTATACAGGTCGTAATCTAAATTTTAACTCTTACAACATCCCCAAAACCGACATTATTCTTTCCACATGTAAGGAAAGGAGATTAGATAGTCACTTGAGTCCACAGAGTCACAAAGGGTAAGTGGCACAACACGGTTTTGAATCCATTCTGTCAAAGACTGCAAAACCTGCACTCTGCCATACTTCACTGCCTCTCAGAAGGAAGGAAAAATGAAAATCAGAAAAGACTGCCTGTGTCCTACTACTCACTTACAGACTATCTGAATGCTTTAGCCATCAAAACTATTGTCAAAGCCAGGTGTGTGGTGCAGGCTAAAACAGGAGGATGTGGAAGTGGAGGCCAGCCTGGACAAAAGTCAACAAAAGGAAACTGTCTCAAAAACAAAATTAAAAAAGGGCTGCAGACAAGGCTTGCCTAGTAAGGCTTGGGGTTCAATCTCCAGCATCAAAACAAAACAAAACAAAAAACCTATTGTCAAGCCTAGTCCAAACTGACTCCCTACTCTAGGAAATGGTGCTTTAAGAATTATGACTGAGGGGCTGGTGGAATGGCTCAAGTAGTACAGCGTCTGCCTAACAAGCGTGAGGTCCTGAGTTCAAACCCCAGTATTGCTTTTAGAACAAAAAAGTTACTATTGAGCAGGGCACCGATGGCTCATGTTAGTAATTCCAACTATACTCAGGAGGCAGTGATCAGAAGTATGGAAGTTTGAAACCAGTTTGAGCATAGTTCAGGAGACCGTATCTTGAAAATATCCAACACAAAAAAGGGGCTGGGGGAGTGGCTCAACTAGCGCGACTACCTAGCAAGCTTGAGGCCCTGTCAAACCCCAGTACAAGCAAATATATATATATATATATGATTTAAAAAAATCTCTAAATCTTGTGTTCTACAGAAAATGAGAGCGAAGCCTGAGATAAACTTCGGGCTGCCAAGGAAAAGGTGACAACCTAGAGGAAATCTTATCAAAGCACTGTGTGAAGTGCAAACTGCCGCAGAAGCACTTTGCGGTGCTATTGGTAGAGACCGCAGGCCTAAGGTACCTGACCTCTCCGAAAGCCCGAAGGACAGGGCAGCGCCTCAAACTGCACCTACCCTGTGGGGGGGGGGAGGGGGAAAAGGCCCAAGAAAACGTGCAGAAGTTCCGGCCTCAAAGAACGCCCTCTGGCTAGACTCACCTGGATTGCACTCCATTACCAGTTGTCGATGTTTCTTTAATTTCCTCCGCAGCATCTGTGCTAAAGTCTCAGCCAGTTTCCGATCGGTTACGTAACGCTTGTGGTCTGAAGTGTACTTGTGTGCCCTGGAGCGCGACTCCCCGAAATTCGCAAGAGGCAACGGCTGTAGGTGCGAGTCAGAGAAGCCACGGCGGTTCCTCGCCGGCCAGTCCTTCCGCGTCGCTCCTCCGCACCTCAAGATGCAAAAGCGTCCATCGCCCGCCAAAACGGACAGCGTCAGCCGCGGAGGGAGTCGCGTCGCTGGGCCCCACATCCTCGTCTCTAAGGTCTGCTCCAATGATCGCCGAGGGCCGCCACAGGTACGAACCCAGGGCCAGGAGCCCCACGTGGAACCCTCCCTGGCCACCCGACTAGGCCGGGCGGAAGTAAACACTACGTACTGCGCAAGCGCACGAGCGAGGCGCCTGCCTTCTTTCGTCACTTCCGCTTCCGCACCGGCTCAGCCGCGGGAGGCTTGTGAGTGGACTGACGGGGAGAGACGGACCATCCGGCTGTGTCCAGGCGCGAACTCTATGGTTGTCCGCCCTCGGCGCTTCCTCTCTAGCCGCTCGCGCTCTATGCTCCGCGGTCTTGGGCCGCCAGTCCGCCAGCTAGCCGGGAGGGGTGCGCAGAGGGAGGCGGGGCGGAAAGGCAGGAGGCGTCTAATCCACCCGAGCCGCGGGAGACCCGAGCAAGCTCAGTGACAGCTCGTCGGCCGCCATGTCAGCGAGCGGGGCTGGGAACAGACCCGGCGTCCGAACATAGCCCTCCTGTGGCCTCGGACTCCCAGGTGAGGAGAGGGAGCGCGGGATGCAGGGGCCTCCGGCTGCGCCGCCTCCGCCCTCCCGCGGCGGGCAGCGGGTCCCCTGTCCCTGTCCGGCCATGGGTCCCCCGCTTGCCCGACACCTTTCATTCTCGGGTACCTGGGTCCCCCGCCACCACCATCACCTTGGTGGTCAGCAACCTCCTAGTGTCCCCCGCCTGCTGCCTCTGGGCCAAGGTTTACCAAATTTTTCATTTGCATGTTTGAAAGACTTTAGGATTTAAGAAATTGAAGATTTAATAAAGCTTAGATTCCTTCCTACGCGTAAAATGATGGAAACCTGGGGATGCTTATTTTATTCCCTTTGTAAACTTAGTTGAGCCAGCACATTGTACTGTAGAGTGCAATTTAAAAGACCAGTTCAAAGACTCTAAAAATAGGATGCTCTAATAGGAATTTTGGCCGTGAGTTGGGCAATGTTGGAATACCCGATTCTTGGAGGGTGATTTTGGTGTTTGGGGATCACATCAGAAAGAGCTTTACCCATTATGTGTTCCACCAAGGCAGGAGGCTGCAGCCAATCAACTCCCTAGTTGAAAATAGGTGCAATCCTTTCTGCTTACTGTACTGGAGCGTAATTGAGCTTGGTATTTAAATGCAAGAGGAAAAGGCTTCTGAGGAATGTATCACCTGGCCAGTAGTCTGACGATTGGCCTTTGCTGATGAAACTCAAACACGTGAAGAACCGACAGCTCAACGTGCCCTTTTTTGAATTGTTAGCTTGTTAGGACACCATAGAAACTGTCTGATGGAAGCCCTGGGGATTCGTTCATTGAGCTTCATTTCCTTAAGTTTTTTCTTTAGTTTCCTTCTTGCAGTATTTCTAGAGGTGACTTGTGTGTTCTCTGAACACCCAGAAAGCTTTTTCCTCTTATTTTAAAAAAGTTTTAATAAATATACTAGATTTTCCCCCCAAGAGCCCTGGAGGCCTAACTTAAAAAAAAAAAAAAAAAAGAAGAAGAAGAAGAAACAGGATGTCTTGTGGTAGAGGAGGACACAATTCACCCTTGAATTTCTCACTTTTAAAATGTTCTTTTTAGGTCAGGGTGTGTAGCTCAGTGGTAAAGTGCTTGCCTAGCATGCTTAAGGCCCTAGGTCTGATCCCCAGTACCATAAAAAATAAATGTACTTCTTGCAGGAAGTACTTACTTTAAAACAGGTTTTATTTCATGATGTCTGTGAGCCAAAGGTAACCCACTCAGTCCTAGAGAAATGGGTTATTTATTTTTGCTTTTGAGTGGTGTAACTGTCCTTTGGTTTGGAGAAAGAGAATTGGTAATTATCCCCACCCTACCTGGTTACTGGGGATGGAACCCAGGGCCTTGCACATGCCAGGAAAGCACATTACCATTGAGCTACACCCTCCAGAGCGTGTCTTTTTGAGACAGGGTTCAGCTGTGTTTTCCAGGTTGGCTGGCATTGACCTGTGCGTCCTCCTGCCTCAGCCTCCCCAGTTGTAAGGATTACAGCTGTGGCCACCACACCCACCCTGCTATTTCCCTTTTTATAGTGTCAATGGTTCATTTGTTTGTGGCTTCAGGTGCTTGAATAACACAATGACAGAATCTTACAAATTTTTTTTGTTGTTGTTGTTGAAGGCTCTGGGTGCTAAAGATGAAAGCAATGTCCATTTCACTTTGAAGATGGATTTTTGAAAGTCTGCATATAGACCCACTTTATTTAAAAAAAAAAAACAAAACTATTTTCCATCTCATTTTCTTAAGGGTTGTGGTTTTGCATCCTGTGCTATTTTGGCCCTTCTGTAGTAATCTTTCTTTCAAACTATGCCAAGAAAAAGTGATTCTGCTGATTATTCTTATGATTACTTAATGTTATTTTTCTTAACACTCTCAATTAAATTGGTTGTTTTTTCTTTTATTTCTTTCTTTTAGGCAGTACTGGGGTTTGAACTCAGGGCCTCATGCTTGCTAGGCAGGCACTCTTAGTGCTTGAGCCACTCCACCAGCCCTTGCTTTTTCTTTTAGTTTTTAAATAACTATATTGTGAAATACCAAGTGTTAATTCTGGCATGCCATCAGAATTAAGACTTAGGTCTATAGCAGCAGCATTCAAATGAAATATAATGCAAGCCACATAAATTAATTTTTAGTAATATATTTCATCCTATGTCATTTCAACATGTAGCTGATTACAGTTGAAAATGAGCTCCTTTTCAAGATTTCATACTAAAGGTGCACATTCTGGTGTGCATTCACACTCACACCTTGGTCAGGCCAGCCCCATTTCAGGTGTCAGTAGTGACAGGTGGCTAATGCCTCCTTCAGTGGGCAGGCCGGGTCTGCAAGATTGCCACTTGATGCTATAATGCCTTCCTACATGCCAGTGATTCTGCACAGGTAAACGGAAAACACCTTTGCTGCTGTTTCTTTTTGAAATGCTACCATCCTCAAAGTGAGGAGATTGTAGATTCCGTGCCAGAAGAGTTCTAAGAAGTCTCTTCCTCTCGGTGTTGACACTGAACTCTGTGTTCCTTTAGTGAGCAAGGAGTCTAGTGAGGTTCATGAGATGAATAGAGTGCCCAGTCATTTCCTGGGGTGTCATTGTTATAACTATTTACATATGCGTGTCAACAGTGTGTCAAGGCACTTGTGTGAGTCTTTGTCTGCTAACTCTGTTGGCATTCAGTAAGGAGAGCTTGAGGAACCACTCAAGACTGAATCTTTTTGTGAACAGGTAGAGTACCTGCTGTGGTAATTAGTTTCTGAACCAGTTTCAGATATGTCTAATAGTTTTGAAATGTGCTTTTCTATATCATGGTATTTCTTATTCAGGTCAATAAAAAAAATTAACGACATTTTGAAAGGAAGAGGGTATGTTTTTATGGCTCTAAAACTCTGGGAACCTGAGTTTATGTTTGGTGGCTTTGGGGAAATTTAACAGGAATCATGGTAGTTGACATACTGTCAGGTGCTTGTAAGCCGTTTTTCCCAGCTGTGGTTCAGAGCTCAAAGAAGACCCTGAAGCCAGCTGACCTCAGTGGGGTTCAATCAGACCCATCTTTGTTTCTGTTTTGGTCCCTGTGCTCTAATGTGTTTCCCTAAGTACTTCAGTTGTAATGTGTTATATCTACAGTCAATGTCAAAATTAGCCTCAGGGCTTAATCAATATTCCTGTAATTTTGTGCAGGAAACAAGTCCCCTTCCCAGCCTCTACAGTAGTAAAGAAGTTTTAAATGGCCTGGGCAGTCAGTAGTATAGAAATTGTGTGGAGTGTATTATACCATCGAATGCAGAACTGAGGAAGGGAGTAGTTATTGGATATTCTTGTTTTGTCAGAGATGTGTGCATATTCTGTAGAAGTGAGTGTTTTCATTTCCATTTAAAACTAGTTGACTGTCCATTGGCCCAGTTGTAGCTGGATAAGAAAGAAAGCACAGCTGAGAGTGGTTGGGAGAAGTGGGGAGATAGAGGTAAAAGGATACTAAGTAGCAGATCTATAAAATAAACAGGTGGAAGATCTGCTGCATAGCTTGAGAGATGTAGTTAATAACAGCCTCTGTGGAGATTATAGCTGCTCCTGCCACCCGGGGAAATGGGTAGACATGTGAGAGGGTGAGTATGTTGCAGTGAGTTACTTGTTTCACTGTAATCACCCTCTTACTATACATATGTATCTTATAGCAGCATATCATGTAGCTATACATGGTAAAATTTGTTTTTTAAAACACTCAAGTGAAGGCAGAAGGATCATGAGTTTTAAGCCAACCCTGGCTATGTAGCAAGGCCCTGTGTCAAAAATCTAAAAGAAAGAAATGGGGTAGAGAAAGAGAAGAAAGAGAGGGAGGAAGGAAGGAAAGAAGAGGAGAGGAGAGAAAAGAAAAAGAAAAGTTGGGTGCAGTGGTATGCACCTGTAGTCCCAGCTACTCAAGAGGTTGTGGCAGGAGACTCACTTGAACTCAGGAGTTCAGGGTCAGCCTGGGCAACATAGCAAGACCCCATCTAGAAGGAAAAAAATAAGAGGAAGAAGAAGAAGGAAGGAGGGAGCAAGAAGGGGGAGGAGGAAGAAGGAGGAAAAGAAGAAGAAAGAAAAGAAAGCAAGCACACAGATTCCTTCAAGTCAGCCTTAGCAAATTAATTTTGGTTATTTGTGAAAAAATAATTGAAAGTCTGGCAGTTTTCAATCTTTAAAAAGAGCCCTTGCCAGGGCGCCAGTGGCTCACTCCCATAATCTTAGCTGCTCAGGCAGCAATCAGGAGGGTTGCAGTTCAAAGCCAGCCCTGGCAAATAGTTTTTTTGAGACCCTATCCCCCCCAAAAAAAAACCTTCACAAAAAAGGGCTGGTGGTGTGGCTCAAGGTGTAGGCCCTGAGTTCAAGTCCTAGTACCACAGAAAAAAAAAGCCCTGAGCCTCCAATATTTTTATGTTCGTATTAAGGAATTCTAACTTAACATATGTAGGTCTTGAAACCATTTTTCTCTCCAGTTTAGGGTCGTCAAGATTCAAACAAAGGTATTTTCCCTGTTTTAGCAATCTTTCCCTTGGTGGATGTTTTATTTCCTTTCAATAAGGGAATACTTTTGTTTTTCAAGCAGTTGAAATAATTCATATAAGATATTCTTAAAAGAAATACATTATTTTAAAAATTCTGAAGTTTTCTGGTGTCTTGTTTGGTCTTTTGATTCTCTTTAACACACTGGGAGAGAGGCCCTTTTGCCGTGACACCCTCACTGTGCCATGTCTTAAGTCTTTTGCTTGTTCACCATCATTATTTGCTGTGTGGAAAGGAAGGCTGGAGTGTGCCTGTCAAAGTACTGATGAAGCAGTAATTTCCCATTAGACTCCTTAGTTAAATTCTGAAACAGGGAATGGCACATTTAGTAACCTTTGTTGACATTGGGCATTTGACATTTTAATTGACAGTATGTAAGTGAGTAGGAATTAACATTCTTTGTAATTGTACTGTCTGTTAAAGTCTTATGAGAATAGTTACCCTGTTTTTCTTGGAAA